GTAGCTGTAGCATTCACTAGCAGCCAGATAGTATTAGAGGGTTGTAAGTCCGCGGGTGTAGCCATGGCCTTTATCAGGTTGGTAGGCAGCATGAGCGCGTTGTTGGACGCGGGGGAAGCAGTAGTACCCACCAGTTCGGGTGCAGTAGTGAGGATATGGGAATCCACGGGTTAGATTTCGGATTTCCCAAATGGTTCAGTTATGGTTAAGTCGGCGATTTGTCAGTAGATCGTCACCTCAGTTATGAGATTAGGGAAGCAGTGGACCGTTTGGGTTCGTGTATGTTAAGGGATACCATTAGTCTGGGAGCCACCATTCTTTAGCTTTGGATTTGATGATGTCAGGATTCGACGTATGGAACCGATCGGTTGGATCGGGAGGTTGTTAGAGTTACAGTGCCAGGATGACTGGTGGAAACTAGTTCCAGAGAAAGATTTCGTTTAGAAGTTGTGGGAGCGACTAAGTAAGGAGTCCTTGGGCTCAACAGTTGAGTTGGAACTCAGTATTGCAGATAACCGATGAATGATTAGAGACCAGGAAGGTCTTGAGATGTTGTGGGAAGCAGCCATTCAGCCAGTTCAGTGTTTCAGCCAGTTCAGTGTTTCAGCCAGTTCAGTGCCTCAGTCAGTTCAGTGTTCCAGGTAGTTTAGTGTTCCAAGCAGTTTAGTATTGCAGGTAGTTCAGTGTTTCATATAGTTTCAGTATGAGTGGCAGAGTGGATAGAACAGTTATAGATAGTCGAGGTATCTTCAGAAGTCGTTGAAAGCAACTAGGAGATTGAGATGGGGTGTAGTAACCGGTAGGAGTCCGGTAACCCATATATGGAGACATCAGTAAGGACCAGGGTGGTCTCGGTTCATCCGGAAGGCGGATGACGAATAGCAGAAAATTTTGGTCAGTAGTAGTGCGGGTAAGCAGTCTATGGTGGATTTCAGTTATTCGAAATCGAGGGTTGCTCGGCACCAAGTTATGTCAGATAGGAGTGTCAGTGGTTGCTGGCGGTGTTGACCCGTACTGGAATTAGCGGGGGTCATGGAGTTGGTGAAGGATAGGACCTTCACAGTTACAGAGGAAATAGTTGGTTATGGAGCCTTGCCTTGGGAAGGCAAGGAATTTGCGCAAGGAAAAGAAGGGGTGAACCCCTATAGGTTCAGTGCAGTACTCGGTGAGTACCAAAAGGATTGTCGGTGAGTAAGTTGTATTTCCCGAATGTGCAGGGTCAGGGTGACCTTCCTTGTAAAGGGGGGTGGATACCTTCCTTGTCACAACGCATTTTAAAGCCGTAAGGACAGTAGATCCCATAAGAACTCTGCAGTTAAGCGTGCTCGGGCAGGAGTAGTACCAGGATGGGTGACCCCCTGGGAAGTCCTCGTGTCGAGTGGCCCAAAGCGGACAATATTGTGATACGTGCCAGAGGGGGATGTTACAAATGGTATCAGAGCTAGGGCACGGGTCGATGTGTTCGACGGGGACATCGAACCCTATAACGGGGGGGGGGGGGGTGAAAGTGGGTTAAATCTGATCCCACATCGGCTTGGAAGGAGAACGAAACATTTCCTTATAAAGGGGTGTGGATACCTTCCTTGTCACAACGCGTTTTAAAGCCGTGAGGGCAGCAAATCCCATAAGAACTCTGCAGTTAAGCGTGCTCGGGCGGGAGTAGTACTAGGATGGGTGACCCCCCTAGGAAGTCCTCGTGCCGAGTGGCCCAAAGCGGACAATATTGTGATACGTGCCAGAGAGGGATGTTACACATGGTCCTTTTGGGTTGCCTTCACCAAAGCAACTTGATAGGATGAATTATGGAGAAAAAGGATTAAATATGATTTATTAATATATTATGAGAATAATATATTAAAGGAGAAATCATATTGTTTAATTAATATTAGTCAATAATTAATAAGAATTAAGTTTGTGACTAAAAGAGATTAATTAAACTTAATGGACTAGAATTGTAATTATAAGATAATTGCAATTGGGCTATGGATTGCCTTATATTATAAGGTTGGACAAATTCTATGGGAAAACCCATTAGAAATCGTCCAAGGCCTTTAAGGAAAGGAGTCCATGGGTTGTTTAGGGCTTAAGCATCCAAATTAGGGTTTCCTTGTTAGATAACCCTAATAGCCTCACTATATATAGAACCCTTATGCTCCAAAACGTGGGGGAACTAATGGTCTAGGGTTTCCACATGTTTTTTGAGTGTCTCCTTCTCTTCTCTTCTTCATCCTCTTGCTCTTGGTTTTGTGAGCCATTAGAGGAGTGACATTTGTGACTCTAAGCTTTCTAAAGTCATTACAAGGAGAATTGAGATTGTTATTGCTACATAACAATCAAGGTATGATCTAAACCCTAATTCATATGTTATATTGATCATCATATGCTAGATCTAGGGTTTATAGTCTTGGATAACTTGCATGTACAATAGAGAAACCTAGATCCAAGCATTAGGGTTTGTATGAGCACATAGGATGTTCTTATAGCTAAAACCCATCAGTATTCACTTATGAATATGTGCAGTTTAATTTTATAATTTGTTTGAAAAATGTAAGATTGATCATGACGATAACAATGTATAGGTTCATCAAGTGTCCGTGTACTTGAAGGAAACAGTGCTATGATGAATGTAGGTAATGAAGGGATAGTTGGTGGGGGACGAAAGCTAGAATTACAAAAAATTACTAATAATGGAAAATCAAAGAACATTACAAGATTAAGACTTAATTACTCTTTAGAACGACCCAACAAAATCAAAAGTTAACAACACTTCTTCACGGTCACCGGTATTGAGTTAGCAAATGAAACAAGACGGTCTTATATATGCCATAAAAACATGCTGAACGAATTTTGTTTTGCAAATTATATCAATGATCAAACCCAGCTATTTTGTTGACCAATAACAATCTTTTTCTAAAAAATCCCTAAAATTTACCCAAATTGGTTATAAATTTCAAAGTACTTACACCAGTCAAAGTAGTTAGGAGTCAGTCCCAATGTCATAAGTTCAAGTCCAAGTCCAAGTCAAAGGAATCTTTTGTCAGCTAAACATTTTTTCTAACTTGAGTACATACAATGATGCATATTATTCAATTAGACTATGACTAACATAAATATAAATATGTATACCATCTAAATATATTTTCTTATAAATAAAGATCATGATTTTCTATGAAGTCCATGTAACAGAGTTCCAACCAACACATCCAGACCAGACGACCTTAGTGTGTTAGATTTAAAGGAATCCATCGGGTCTACTTATCCGTACTTCAAAGGTCATAGAGTAGCTTTATTTGAATCGCATATATTTTTTGTTATTATTAAGTTCATGACTTTCGATGGAACCCATGTAACGAACTTTCAACCCAATTAGTCCTAAACAAGTCGACTTTAGGCAATTAGGTGTAGAACACCCCTCGGGGGTTACTTATTCGAATCGTAAAGGTCACATATTAACTTAATAATATTATTTTTATTTTTATTTTTATTTATTTATTTTAATTTATTTTCTAGGCTTACCTCTGTATATTTTCGTCATTGACTTTTCTATTGTGGACATTTCACGGTCTATTACCATGAGAGGATTTTAAGACATTTTTATCGGGACTAATGTTAACACGTAGGGACCCGTAAGTATAGTTGGAAACTATGTCCCCAAGCAGTATACTTAGAAGGGAATGTATAGAAAAGACTTTTTAGAGCGCTGGAAAGTTCGAGTTACTAGAATTTTCTATTATTTTTATGCTTTTCATAGATTAAGTTTAGTTATAACTGAGCATTTATGAACTGTAAGACCTGGTTTCCATAGGCTAACTTATACCAACAATTATGCTTTAGTATTGAAAAATAGGTTATTTTTCAAATACATCATGCCCTCAACGTTGTTGCCTAGGGTCAACTCAGATAATATAATGATTTTTTGCTCAAATTATCCAAAGTGAAATTTAAAGAATGATTTAAAGTTTAGATAAAAATAATAAACTTAACGATAGAATTTCAAATTATCTTTGTATGTTTCATTTTCAATATTATTTTTTTAACTTATTAATCTACTTATTATTTTTTTTTTGTTTTATCAAATAATTTATTTAGAATCAAGAAAAATTTATATAAACTAACAATGGACGAAGAATATATGTGATTGGTCGATTGGGTATCTGTTTCACAGTTCAATGGGCCTCGGCCCAGTGGATAGGGTTTGATGTTACGCCTTACGCGTATAAAAATTGATTCATCTCCATCTTAGGGTTGCAGTACAGCGTAGAGGCGGAGGAGAAGCCGGCAAATCAGGGCACGATTGCTTCACGGAATAACGGTTATCGTGAAAACCTAATCTTCCGAGTCCACTAATTTCATTACTGTGTGATTTATGATACGGATCCCGATCCTGATTCGAGGACAATGGTTTTGTTTAGTTATTTTCTAGGGTTTGTTTTCTGTGTTTCTTTTTCTTTCTGATATAAGTTTCAATGATTCATCGACTCTAAATAAACTAAGTCTATTTATTTTGCATCAAATTTAGGCATAAAGATGTTTCAAATTGATCGAAAAATTAGTTTTATGCCTTTACAAAGTTGTTTCATTTTCATTTTCATCGTAGTTTGGTTATGTTTGGTTTGAAGGCGGACAAGAAAAGTGGAATAATAATGTAAAATTTCTGTATGTGTTGAATTCACAATGGTTTTATATGCTTTTTTCATGGATATGCCGAGTAATTGGATGGAATACATAAATAAATAATCTCTTGGTAACATACTTTTGGTATTTGTTAACTTTCTTGATTGGTTTTATTCTGTTTGCTGCTATTATGGATTTTGTTTGTTCATAAACTTTATTGCAGTTTTGTTATAAGAAATAAATAAATCGTCTTGGTGTTTTTTTTTAAACATCTCCAACCATGAAGAGGCAGCTGAATAACCAATGATAAACCTTTAACATTTGATGGCATCCACAGCAACTTAAGTATGAGTACGTCAGTTTATGCTCATCTGCACACTCATACCATGAGCATATGTAATCTGCATCAATATAGCGAGTTGGTGAATTATTTATGCATATTTATATCACAAGGCATGGCTTTGGTTTTTGTTCTCTTAATTAAGATGAGCTTTCTAATTCTACTGTGCAGCAGGGTTCAAAAGTCAACAAACTGCAGATGGTTGGGGAAATGAAGAATGACTCAGGTTTGGATGTATTCTTTTGCAAGAAGTTACTGTAAATACGTTCAATTAGAATTTTAGATACACAGACACGATTCATATAAAAAAATCATGCTTTGTATTTAAAATCTTTAGAATGCAAAGTCAAATAGTTTAAAATAAACACACAGAACAAGTTAAGTTATTTAGAATCTCCATGTGGTGATGCTAACCACTTAGTTAATTATGTAATACCTTGTGCACCGGTGTTGTCTTCTTCTATGGAGAACAGAACAGCCAAAACCCTAGATTTGTCATTAATCTGACTAGGTGTAGAGTTTTCACATCCGGCTAATTTCTCTTTTTCTTCTTCTTTATACTTCTGAAGTTGTTGTTACATAGAACTCTCTCTCTCTCTCTCTCTATATATATATATATATATATATATATATGTTTCAAAAAGAGAAACAGTATTGAAAGAATAAGGTTTAAATCCTTTTGTTCAAAGCTTTAAGGTTTTATTAGGATGAGTTTATATTTTATTCCAAGTTTAGAGTTGTGTTTGGAAAAAATAACCAATCTACTGGGAATTGTTTGTTATGCTGAATTTAAATTCTTTGATGCAGGGAAGGTGACACAAGACATGGATCAAGGACACTGTGAATCCAGGTTACTTACTGGATATTTTAATTCTTTTTTGAATGATAATATTTTAAAAATACGGACATCAGAGATTGAAAAAGAAGTTTCACAGATTTGTATATTCTCTAAAGTTTCCATTATTTTGGATTTAATTATTTGCATTCTAAAGTTTACATTTGTTTATATTTTTCAGTACCACTTTAACTTTGGTGAACGATTTAAATAAATTAATGAGCAATGTTTGGTCTATGTCAAACATGCATGAAATAATTTTTTTTAAGTAAAAATTTCATGATCTTTTTAATTCCTTATATTTATTAATTTACTATCAAACAATCTTCATAAATTTGCAATTTAACTGCAAGGGTCCATCTATAATATCAATGAATTTGCTTGAGTTTTTTGTGTTTGTGTGAGGGAGAAAATTGTAAAGTGGGTTTAGAATTGAATCAGAAAAAACTTTGACAAGTGTTGAATTTGAGACAGAGTTGGTTTGATATTAACTATCTTTCTATTTTGCACTTGATCTTTTTATGCATCATCTACAATTAAAGTACATTTGTTTATATTTTTCAGTGTAGATAGCGCTACTTGGGCTTCATTGGTCAACAATATAAATAAAATTAAGAGTGTTGTTGAGTCTTTGTCAAACAGGCTTGAAGGTCTGGACACTTGTGTACAAACTATTGAAAAGGGTTTGAAAAAATATAACCGAGAGCCAGATCCTGAGTTTCGTTTAGATCTGAAGCCTGCTTCTTTGAATCCAATTGATCTTCTACCATCTTTCCCTGACAAGTTTGATCTAAATGTTTATTGTAATTGGGTAAAGAGAGTAGAAACAATTTTTAGCTATTATTTTTTTTCAGAGGATGAAAAGGCCGAACTTGTAGCCCGCAAATTGCCACATGAAGGAGAGGCTTTCAGATGGTGGCAAGGTATCCAAAATAAAAGCATGCAAGTCGATGAACGCCCGTTTGATTGGAGTGAGTTGAAGTTGCTGATTTTGGCTGAATTCGTTTCTCCAAAATGTTTGGAAGCCAACAAGAAATTCAAGACATCCTTGTAATGTATTTCAAATTCAAATTCTCACTGAAAATGGAGTTGCATGTATTTGGAATTTAAGAACGTAAAATGCTGTTGGATGTTTGATTTAAAATATTTGGATTCATCAACTCTTTGTTGCTTGTCCTTTATTATTATCACTTTAACAATACATTGCACATTGATCTCTAATGCCTCAAAAACCTATTGACCTGTGTTAAGTCGAAAAATTCTGTGATTCAACATGTTACTTATTTTTGTGATGTATATTTTGTAGAACATCAATTCTTAATAAGATAAAAGGTACTATAATCACAAAGAAAAAAAATAGTAGCCATAGTGATAGTATATTGAAGATCCGATGGTATTTTTGTTCTTATAGTATATTTAAAAACTTTACAAAATTGAGAAAATGGTCCCTGGCTTGTCGATTTCTTTGGGTAAAAGTTTATTAGCAAAAAAGATACTTATTTGGTGGTTTTGAACCCTATCTTGTTAGTTTTAAACTTATTGAAAATAACAGATTTAAGTTTATCTTTTTACCAAACTACAAAGGTTATTTATGTAATTTTTCTTTTTCATTTTATTGAATTATTATATATTAGTTCTTTTAATTATTTTTTTAAAATTTATTTCTTATTATATTATTTTTTATTGGATTATTATATATTAATAAATCTTATTTTTAATATATTATATTTATATATTAATAAATATTTTTTATTATTATATTATTTTTTAATTATTATTATTATTTTTTTAAATTCTTCTTTGTTTGATTAATTCTTTTTTATTCGATTGTTATATATTAACAAATATATTTTTTACTATATTATATTCATATATTAATAAATACTATTTTATTATATTATTATTTTTTCAATTTCTTCTTTATTAGAGTAACTAGTTTATAACCCGTGAGAAACACGGTTATAAAATTAATTAAATTTTCATATTAAAAAATTAAAATTATTAATCAATTATTTTAAATAAATTATTACGTAAGAGATATTTTTTTAGTTATATAAAATTATAATCGATGATTTAAATAAATAAATGAAGTTATATCATCTTATAATCTGTATTAATTCTATTTTATTTTTCAATCTAATTTTATTAATTTAATATAATTAGAGAGAAAATTTAAAATGAAGAATCAATTATTTATTTAATATAATTAGAAAGAAAAATTTAATAATTAAAATTTGAAATGGATAATCATACTTACTTATAAAGCTAGCATTTTTTCTTAAATCTCATGCATTTGAAACTCTCATTCTTTTTTCCTTTCACCATATTTATTTGAAACTCCCATGACTTTTCAATTTCTTTCTAATAATAATAATAATTTGGTAAATTAGATTAAATAAATATCAAACCTAAATTTTAATATTAAAATAATATCTTTACTTATACTTATAAAATTATGTTTTTTAACTTTTAATATATTATACTTAATTTATTAGTTTTAATCTATTGTTGGATGTAAACTATTATCATTTTAAAAGTATAATTTTGGAACAATTTATACAAAATACTTAAATTATTAATTTAAGTATAACATTACAGGGTCAACTTAAATATAAGTTTTAGTTTAACTTAAACAACCCAAATAATATTTTATAAATAGTTAAAAGTGATAAATTGCAGTATCTTTCTAATAATGATTAGAAGTTGGTTAATAAGGTTAAATGAATATCAAACCTAAACTGTAATCATAAAAAGACTAAATTTCAATTTTAAAATAATATATCTTAACTTCTATTTATAAAGTTATGTCTTTAAATTTTAACATATTATACTTAATTTATTAGATTTAAAATTTTATTGTATGTAAACCATTATCAGTTTAAAGCTACAACTTTTGAACAGTTTGGACAAAATACTTAAATTGTCAATTTAAATATAATATTAAAGTGTATACTTAAATATAAATTTCAGTTCCACTAAAAAAACCAAAGAATATTTTCTAAATAGTTAAAAGTGATAAATAATAGTGATAAATGCAAAAACTAAACTGTAAATAGCTAAAAGTGATAGATTGTAGTGATAAATGCAAAAATTAAATTGTAATATCAAATTAACTAAAATATTTCCTAAAGATATTTTTATAATCGTTAAAAGTTTCGAAATAAGTAGTTTAAAATAACTTACGGTAACAATAGTTAAAAATAACTCTATATAAATGATTATATTATTAGCTTTAAAATAAAAAAACAATGTTTGATGTTTTAAATAATTATAATGATAAAAATTAAAACATTAAGCAAACAAATTTTAAAGAATTAATTATCAATAACAACAACTATAAATAACATTAAATCACATTTTATTTTTAATTGTATTAATGTGTAACTCGCGGGTAAAAGTCATTCAACCGATCGAGATTATTAAGTTATAATAGATGTATATATTATCATATAATTCAAAATAATCAATATATCATATCAATTTAGTATACAAATTATTATATCAAATTTAACAACAACATTATTCTTATATTAAAAAAAACATAAATTTGTAACGACTTCAACTATATAGGTGTTTCTGCGCAACGCGCTGACATTCGCCTAGTCTATTTTAATTTAATGTAATTAAAGTGGAAATTTAAATTTTGAAATGGATGGTTGACAAGTGGCATGATATATGATATATAACATTAATGAGGAGTTCTAATTGTATGCTATTTGTCAATAGGAGATTAAATCTATTCTTTTATTAGAATAAAGATTTTTATTGGATTATTATATATAATTTTTATCTATTAATAAATATTACATTATTGGCTTATTAATTTCTATTAATTATTTTTAATTTTTTTTATTACGTTATTTTTTTCATTGGGTTATTACTTTTAATTTATTATTTTTATATATAATAAATATAATTTTATCAGGTTAAGAATTTGTACTGTATAATATTAGTTCTTTTTAATTTTATAGGTTCCACCACAAAGTCGTCAGAATACGCAAAAGTGCCGCCTCCTATCGTCGAAAATCGACAGGACAACCACCAATCACTTTCATTGGTGGTTCGACGAAAACCCCACCAACTTGTTACATCCAATGCCGTCAATAGCCACTTATGACAACCTCATCGCAATATGTCAGAATCCTCCGTATCTGCCACTAAGACGACCATATTCTGTTACAACCACCAACCACCAGGAGGTCCGATCTAAATAGTCCTCGTCAGCTCCTCCATTCGTTGCCTTCTACCACCTTGCGTCGTCGTATCATCTCGCTAGAAATCTCTGATCATCTCCTACAGTCGGCCATTCTCGATGAAAACTACATTGGTCGACTTCCCACATAATTCGCAACAAACCCTAGAAAACATACAACCTCCAACTGACAATTCGTTACTGACACCGCCATCGATGATGACAATGTTAAATCGAGGGTTTTCAAACCCCCATAGCCACTGCATGTGGTGGCAAGGTTGTATAACACGTTATTCGGTACTCGTTCGACCAACCGCCGAGTAGCTAGTACTCGCAAATACTCGAATTTGGTAATTCATGTAGAAATATTTTTTAAGGAAATTATATATGTCAAAATCATATTTTATTGAAATATATAACAAATTTAGATATATTTGAATACACAAAAACTAAAACACACACGATGATCTCACTTCGTGATTAATAACTAAAAATTTAAGATACACACACACACACACACACACACACACATATATATATATATATATATATATATATATATATATATATATATATATATATATATATATATATATATAGTAACATGCGTCGAAGACGATCCGATAATGATGGTGGTGGCGATGTCCAAAATATGTTATCTTCCAAATAATTAAAATAAATTAGGTGAGGTGGGGTGGGTGAGATGTTTTAGTATTTTTATTTAAAACAAGAAAGAAAACAATTAAAAGAAAGTAAAAACAATTAAAAATAATATATTTTATAAATAAAAGTAATAAATTTAAAGTAATAATCCAATAATAAGAATTAATGCAATAAAAAATTTAAAAAAAAATAATTAAATGAAATTAATAATCAAATAAAGTAATACTTATTAATAGATATATATTTTATATTAAAATTAATATTTATTAATATATAATACTCCAATAAAAAAGAATAAATCCAATAAAGAAGAAATTAAAAAAATTAATAATCAGTTAAAGTAATATTTATTAATATATAAATATAATATATTAAAAATATTATATACATATATTAAAAATCAACACGTCTGTGAACAATGTACTTTTACAATTTCAGACTTTCACCACATCAATTTATACATAATGACTATTTCGTCCTGCGATGTTTTGACCATCTTATTTTGTAATCCACAAACCCACCGCCATCACTTTGATAATTCTTCAACCCCTTTCTTCTTCATTTCGACGACTTTCTTTCTTCGTTTCTGACAGTCTTGGTTTGAGTCTCCCGATGACTTTTCATCCAAGAATTTAGGAATTCAATTTCTCTCACCAAGAACCACCAACGCAACATTGCCGCCACCAAATACCCACCAACAAACGCCTGTACTGTGTTGATGTGAGGAATTTGGTATGTTTTATTATGATTTTCTATTCAATTTCTGTTCTTTCTGATCCTCTTGACAACTTCTCATCCAATAATTTAGGAATTCGATTTCTCTCAACAACCACCGCCTACGTTGTATTGCCACCACCAAACGCCCGTCAACAACCGGTTGTACTGTGTAGCAGTGAAGAATTTCGGTATGTTGTATCTTCTTTCAATTCTATTATGATTTTAGGCTTCAATTCCTCTTCTTTATGATCATTTTGTGTTTTTTGAGCGATGTCTCCGATTTTGTGGGTATGAGGTTTCCGACGATTTCCTGTCCAAGAAATCAGGATTTCAAATTTTTGTCGCGAACCACGTCTGCTATCAATTGGCGACACCAATGCTCTGTTGTTGTATGAAATTTCGGTATGTCATATATTGTTTCTAATTGATTTTGATTTTCTGCTTGATTACTCTTGGTTCTGTTTTTTTAGTGCGCTGCCTCC